CACTGGATAGCTATGCACTCCCACTTTTATTTAGAGGGTACCAGCAAGTCTACAAGCCAGCAGGCACGTAGGCAAGGTTATACATCAACTTAAGGATTTGGGAAAAGGAATTTGGTCTGGTGGTTTAACATAGGGAATAGAGCTGTGTTGTAAATCTTCAGAGACAGGCCTATTTGGATGCTTGTGCAAATTTACAAATTCCCCAAAATATTCCAGGTACCAATTAACATCTGTTAGCCCCCTGCTGTCCCGGCTGCCACATTCCTTTGGGGCAGGTGTGCCCATCCCCTGCCTCTTATGGTGTGAGCAGAAACTTTGGCCATTCCTCTAACATCAGGGAGATGTGCCCCTCTGAGAGGCACTTATGCAGCATCTCTACAAGGTAGAGATATAGACAAAGAGAGGGAGAGACAGACAGAATGGTCTTCCAGCTGCTGGTTGATTCCCCAAATGGCGGCAATGGCTGGAGCTTAGCCAATCCAAAGCTAGGAGCTAGGAGCTAGGAGCTTCTTCCAGGTCTCCCACTTAGTGCAGGGGCCCAAGCATTTGGGCCATCTTCTACTGCTTTCCCAGGCTATTAGCAGGGAACTGGATCAGAAGAGGAGCTGGGACATGAACCAGTGCCCATTGGGATGCCAGTGTTGCAGGTGGAGGTGGTGGCATAACTTACTACACCATAGCACCCTGCCCCGCACCACTTCTTGATACCCAGGTCTCTTTCAGCATGCAGTGTGGGTACATTAGATGAGTTTATGTGTAATGCAGAAATTCTAGCTGTAAGAAGTCTATAGTTTAGCCTGTTTCCCTAAAATTATGCTGGGAACAATTTGGAGTTCTATGATATTTGCCACACAGGGTTCTAGATAGACATTAGTCTAGCTTGCTTTTATACATGCAATTGAGTAGTTGCATTTCTGAGAAAGAGTAACAACCCCAAACTGTATCATGTCTTGTTTGAAACACTTGAAACTGAAAGTTATTGTTCCCAGTATGTGCCTCCCCAAGCCACAACTTTATTTGCCACCTCTCCTGGAAGTTTCACTTATCAAAATAGTCATGCATTTTAGCTTGTAGTACTTTCAGAAATAGTTTGTAAGTATTTTAGGTAGTTAAAACTGTTTAGATAGTTAAAACTGTAACTGTGAAGTTATTGAAAATTGTTATCCCGTTGACCAGAATTGCTTTGTTTTTTGTTTCTAATAATGCAAGATTACTTTTGCCATGTAATGAAGGCAGGAATAAGGCATTGAAATAACAAGTAGATTACAAAAGCATTCTTTTCATTAAATCATTTCAAGAGAAGGAAGCTCAAACTTCCAAAGTAACAGATAAGAACAACACTGAATTAAAAAAAAAGAATTAGTGAGAAATATAATAAAATTAAAATCATTCTCTGTTTCAGTCAGTTACCATTGTATAACCAACAACAAAATCTCAGTGAGATACAGTAATAGTTATTTATTTCTCACTCATCTTTTGTCCAGATGAGACCAGTCTAAGCAGCATTTTGGGTCCCCTGTGCGTCACAGCTTTCTCATCCTCCCCACACTAGCAGTGTTGTCAAGTCCAGCCCTTCTGAAGCAATGGCAGAGGCACAAGAGAACAAACAGAAATAGGAGTTCCCTTTAAGTTGTAAACTTGAAACTGACAGTCTTGTTTCATTCCATATTTTATTGATAAAAGTTCAAGTCCAAAGACAAGGGGGAGGAAAGTACAGGCAGTCCCTGACTCATGGTGGTTTGGTTTATGATTTTTCATCTTTACTGTGTAGAAGTGATCTGATAACACTGTTTTTTACTTTCAGTACAGTATTCAATATATAATTGTTTTCATGTGTCACAATAAATTACATGAGATATTCAGCATTTTCTTATAAAATAGCCTTTGTGTTAGATGGCTCTGAGCATATTTAAGGTAGGTTAGGCTAAGCTATGATGTTTGGTAGGTTAGGTGCATTAAATGTATTTTTGACTTCTAATAGTTACAATTTATGATGAGTTTATAGTCTATAATCCCATCATAAGTCAAGGAATATCTTCATACTTTCCCTTTGTTTGGAAGAATCTACAGAGTTACGTGGCAAAGAACTTTTGAAATTTTTATTTTCAAAATTTTATTTATTTGAGAGGCAGAGAGATACAGAGACAGAGGGACAAAGTGAGTTCCTATCTGTTGATTCACTCCCCAGATACCCACAATGGCCAGAGCCATGCCAGGCCAAAGCCAGGAACCTGGAACTAAATCCAGATGTCTCACATTGGTGGCAGGGACCCAGCTACTTGAGCTGTGACCTAGTGCCTCTCCAGTTACACTGTCAGAAGCTGGAACTGGGAGTGGAGCTGAGCCAGGACTGAAAACCTGAGAAATCAAAAATGGGGTACGGGCACCCCAACCCACAGCTTAACTGTTAGGTCATGTACCCACCTCTGCATGGCCAAAAACAAACAAACAGAAAAACAACTTGGCAACAGGAAGGGCACGACAAGGAGTTGGGGCCAATTAAATCTACCACTTCTTCCAAATTAAAGTTTGGTAATTCTCAAAATATTTGAGGGGAATTCTTTGATACCCTCTGATACCACTGTTTTCTTATTTGTGAGTAATAAATTATCATTAGGCTTAGCCACTTATTACATGCTAGAATAATGCTTAATCTCTGAGATGATAAAAATGTCTTAGCTGTGAAGCTCAGATGTAAGAAAGGGAACACCAAGTACAAGGTACCTTCACATTCCATGAGAATTGTTAATATTTCAATATTGTTAGAGATTTATGTAAATCATTAAAAGGCAAGTTTAAAAAATCTTGTTTTGTAAATACAAAAGGAATAACTTAGTTTTTTAGTGTTCACTTGCAAAATCCAGGTTTATATCAAATATTTGATAATTCTAAAAGGCTATGCTAAAACAAGCTTTTTTGAGAAATTTCCTGCTCTCTGTTTAAAGTAGAAATTGAATTATATGATTCTTTTGCGTTATTTTTAAGATTTTTTATTTATTTGAAAGACAGTTCCACAGAGAAAGGGACACAGAGAGGAAGAGAAAGAGAGACCAAATGGCTACAACAGCCAGAGCTGAGACAGGCTGAAGCCAGGAGCCAGGAGCTTCATCCAGGTCTCCCATGTGGGTGCAGGGACCCAAGCACTTGGGCCATCCTCCGCTGCTTTCCCAGGCCATAAGCAGGGAGCTAGATAGGAAGTGGAGCAGCTGGGACCCAAACTGGCACCCATATGGAATGCTGGTGCCACAGGCGGTGGCTTAACCCACTGCACCACGGTGCTGGCCCCGAATTTTATTTAATAAGCAGGTGAACAACAACTTGAACTTACAATATTCAGTTTAATACTGTTAGGGTCTAGAGTATCATCTACTGAATTGAATATCAAACATTAAGCTTAAAATTTGATTCTGAGTAAATTAAATAAGATTCTTTTTCACAGTGCCTCAGATGTAATATATTTTGATTTAAAGGAAGAGAGGGTAAAAGTATAACCCTTTAGAGCCCCAAAATAATTAATGATGAGTCTGTTTCTAGGAAGCCATAAGTGCACTGTCAGGCTCATAATGGAAAACAGTAGTACAGAAATAATACTTTACAGCGGGCTAAAAGAAACAATAACTTGCATTAGGCTCTTTTTGTAAACTGGGCACAGTCCTGAGTGCATCATATGTGCTACTTTTCTTAATCCACAACCTGATAAGGTAGAAATTTCTATTAGACTTTTTTTTTTTTTTTTTTGACAGGCAGAGTGGACAGTGAGAGAGAGAGACAGAAAGAAAGGTCTTCCTTTGCAGTTGGTTCACCCTCCAATGGCCGCCACGGCCAGTGCACTGCAGCCGACGCACCGCGCTGATCCGATGGCAGGAGCCAGGTGCTTCTCCTGGTCTCCCATGGGGTGCAGGGCCCAAGCACTTGGGCCATCCTCCACCACTCCCTTGGCCACAGCAGAGAGCTGGCCTGGAAGAGGGGCAACCGGGACAGAATCCAGCGCCCTGACCGGGACTAGAACCCGGTGTGCCGGTGCCGCAAGGCGGAGGATTAGCCTAGTGAGTCGTGGCACTGGCCTCTATTAGACTTTTTATAGATAAAGAAACAAGCAGAAAGAAGTTGATGTTTCAAATTTCCTATAATTCTATGTCTTGTTCTTTAAAAACAGAGATAAAAATCATAATTTTTTAACACAACAGAATTGTACCGGCTTCAGGACTAACATTGTGTAACCAGTCTGAGACACGGTTTGCAAATGTTTGTCTCTAGGTTGATTGTGCACTATCCTGCACAGACTTTATGTTCCAGTATAACCCCTTGCCTGGAGCAAGTTGCTTAATATGTCTCAAACTTGGTCTCCTCATATGTTAAATGACGCTAATTATACTTGCCTTATTTCAAAATTTGTTGAGGAAGTCAAATGAAATATATGGAAACAACTTAATAAGTCATAAAGTACTGTATAAAATTAGGTAGTGATTTATTATGTAGTCAAATCTTCAAAATTGGTAGTTAGGTTATTGTGATTAGATGTTTCGTATACGACACACGGCACATCCATCATCATACACTAAAAACAAAACCAAGTATTCAGAAAATCTAAGGAATTTAATGTATTAAATATGGCTTCAAATTCCATTCCTCATCAATGGCACATATATTGGTAGTGCAGTAGCAAATGTTAAGTCTAGATTCTGAAACTGTGCTAACATAGATAGTGTAAACAGTATTGCTATTCAGATGATATTTCACATTACCAAGTAATTAAATGAAGGAAATATCTTGTTTTGTTTGCTGTTATGTCTCAGTTGTCTGGAACACTGTCTGACACATAAACAGTTTTTGAAAGAATGACTGAATTACTGACAACTGAAGAAGGAACTTTAGAATTGCTTTGACATATTACACACAAATGTTAAGGGTAGATGCTGGTAATATACATAATATTCTGAGATTTCATTCGCCCCCATGCACATATGGCAGATTTTTAAGTTCTTATTTGCTTTACTTAGGGACGTGCTTCCTTAACACCAGAAAAAGAGCAGTTTGCCCAAGAACATGAAGAAATGAAGAACTTAGAAGCCATTGTTAAAGAAATAAAACCAACTGCACTCATAGGTAAACTTTTTCTCCTCCTTTTCCTGTATCCCTAAACCACATTTCGACCTAATTTATTTTCTTGCTATTGATTTTTGAGGCATAATTTAGCTTTTTTGAAACACTAACCCCTGGAATTCACAAGCAGAATTACACATTCAGCCACACAACAATGCTGCCATCTTGCTCTTGTTGGCAATCTTAGCCGAGGTGTATGTGGCCCCAGTGATTACTCTGTGGGCCTTTTAACACCTGGCATGTTAAGCACATTTCCACATTTGATAACCCTGGACAGAGAGTGGTTCTCAAATGGGAGATTTTGCCCTCCAAGCAATATTTGGCAATGTCTGTCCTAACTGCCAGAGAGTGGGGGATTGGAATGGAGAAAGGGGCTACTGACATCTAGTGTGTAGAAGCTAGTCGTGGTGCTAAATATCCTGCTGTGTGCAAGGGACAGTCCCTGCACCAGCAATTACCAGGTCCCGAATGTCAGGAATACTGAGGTGTGGAACATTGAACTAGACCATCTGGAAGACAGGGATCACATCTCACCAATCTTTGTATTCCTTATAGCACTTAACCCAGTAATTTGCACATTGTATGTACACAGTAAGATGTTTAAAATGGCCACATTTTATGTGATTTTTAAAAGACTCAGAGAAAGTTATGAAATGCCATCCTTTATTTTGTGTCTATATAATGACAGTCTTTACTTTGTATCATACTCCATTTCTGGATACTTCTTTTAAACAAATGACAGTGTTGAGAGTAATCCAAACCATAATAAAAATAACTACTCAGTATTGGGACCTTTACCAAACTTTTAGAATGGTTTCACAACATGTATTCTTTCAATAATCTTACTGTTTTTCCCCATTTCACTAACTGCTTTATTCTGTTAAACTTCTCTCAATAAGTGATACATCAAATTCATATTTGAATGAGTTGTCTTCAGTTTATAAAACAGAATTACTTTATAGTCTGACAGATAAATATACTCATAGAATTGCTTATAGAGAGGATGTGTATATATATACATATACATGAATATATTGGACATATTTTAATTTCCTAACGCAAAAGTCTATAGTCAAAATTCCAAGTTATTGGCCACTAATTCAACCGATGATGAGCCAGATATCATGTATAATTTTTATAGATACTTGTAGATTTGTGACTGTAAAGATTGTTGCCATTACCAAACATCTCTTTTTAGCACTTTAACAGAAGTATTTTATATTTTGTTTTACGGTGTGTTGGAAAACTCCCTGACATATCTCATTGTTTGTAGGCTACAGGCTGCTTTAATGAATTAACTAACGCTAGCCCTGGTCACTGGTCTCTCATTTCTTCATAGGAGTTGCTGCAGTTGGTGGTGCATTCACAGAGCAGATTCTCCAGGATATGGCTGCCTTCAATGAACGGCCTATTATTTTTGCTTTGAGTAATCCAACCAGCAAAGCAGAGTGTTCTGCAGAGCAGTGCTATAAAATAACTAAGGTAAAGCTAAAAAAAGTGTAACATATTTTAATAATCTAATATTTATTCATTATAGAGAGACATTGGATATCCAAGGTGCTTAACACTTCACCTTTAAAAATTATACATCAAAGATTAAAAGAAAAATAAACAAGTTAGAAGCATAAGAACTATTTCCTTTTCTGGATTATTGTGGTGTCAAGCCTATTCTTTTTTTTTTTTAAGATTTATTTATTTGTTTATTTGAAAGACTTACAGAGAGGAGAGAGACAGAGATATCTTCCATCCACAGGTTCACTCCCCAAGTGGCCGCATCTGCTGATGCCAGGCCGGGACAAAGCCAGGAGCCAGGAGCTTCCTTCTGCATCTCCCACATGGGCCAGGACCCAAGGACTTGGGCCATCCTCCACTGTTTTCCCTAGCATGCTAGCAGAGAGCTGGATCAGAGGTGGAGCAGAGGGGACAAGAATTGGCACCCATGTGGGATACTTGCACTACAGACAGCAGCTTAACCTGCTGCGCTACAGTACTGGCACCTCTATCAATCCTCTTTTTAAGTAAAATAATGATATTTTCCATGATACTTTTCCTCAAGTGAGTTAGAAGTTAACATACATGTTAACTAACAAGGAAAAAGTTTGGTTCTAGGTGGTTATTTAAATAACTTTTAACTAGCTATTCTCAAATATTGAAGCATACAGTATAAAACCACACTCTAATTTTTGCTTTCCTAAATCCTGGGTTTGGATTTTGATGCCATGGGTGGAGCATTTGGGCAGCTCTTTTGACATCCAGCCCAGTTGGAATAGGAATCCTCAGTGCTTCAATATTTTACTGTTTCAAAAAAAGTATTTGATTTTACGCTATTTGTACGAATATATATTTGACTAATATGTTAACATGAGTCTTTTTTTTTTTACCACCAAAGACTTGAAAATATCATTGCAGCAAAATAGAGGTTAAGTCATCTCTATCTAAAATTTTTACTTTAGAAATAAATCCAAAGTAACCTAGAGAGGGTAAACACAACCCAAAGTTGTATTGTTCTGCACAAATCAGAACTTGATGGCTGTACTTCTTTCTTATTCTTAAAATTTTTTAATTTTCTTTTTAGAGAGATGAAGGCAGGGTAAAGAGAGAGAGAGAGAATATAAGCAAGCTGGGATACTGGAGTCAGGAACACAACCCTGGTCTCCCACTTGGATAGCAGGAAGCCAGTTATTCTAGCCATCACTGCTATCTCCCAAGGTCTGCATTGACAGGAAATTGGAGGAAAGAGCTGGAGCCAGGTATCAAACTCAATACTCTGGTGTGGGATATGGGCATCTTAACTACTAGGCTAACTGCCTGCTCCACCTCTGGTTCTTTAAAAGTATATCATTGGCCGGCGCCACGGCTCACTAGGCTAATCCTCCACCTGTGGCGCCGGCACCCTGGGTTCTGGTCCTGGTCGGGGCGCCAGATTCTGTCCCAGTTGCTCCTCTTCCAGTCCAGCTCTCTGCTATGGCCCGGGAAGGCAGTGGAGGATGACCCAGGTGCTTGGACCCTGCACCCGCATGGGAGACCAGGATAAGTACCTGGCTCCTGGCTTTGGATTGGCGCAGTGTGCCAGCCGTAGCAGCCACTTGGGGGTGAACCAACAGAAGGAAGACCTTTCTCTCTGTCTCTCTCTCTCTCACTGTCTAACTCTGCCTGTCAAAAAAAAAAGTATATCATTAAATGTTCATTATGAGAATTAATAATTTTTTGGCCAGGGCTCACTCCATTGTTTCTCTCTCTTAGTTGGGATAGCATCAGTGCGATCACCGATTTTAATTTTTGTCTCATCCGGACATTGGAGAATAGTTTGCCTCATATTCTTCAGTTGTTCTTAAGCCTTAAATGGGGGCTGGCATTGCGGTATAGCAGGTAAAGCTGCTGCATATACCATTAGCATCACACAGGGGTGCCAGTTCAAGTCCCAGCTGCTTCACTTCTGATCCAGCTCCCAGCTAATGGCCTGGGAAAAGCCTAGGAAGACAGTCCAGGTGCTTGGGACCTACCACTACACCTGCATGACAGACCTGGAAGAAGCTCCTGCCTCCTGGCTTTGGCCTGGCCCAGAGTGGTCATTGCAGACATCTGGGGAGTGAACCAGTGGATGGAAAGTGTCTGTCTCTCTCTCTCTCTCTCTCTCTCTCTCTTTCTCTCTCTTTCTCTCTCCATCTCTCATGGTAACTTTGATTTTCAAACAAATAAATATTTTTAAAAAAATCCTTAAGTGAAAAAAAATACCCTTTGAGCAATAACAAACTTTTAGCAGGGTGCCTTGCACATAGCAGGCACATAATGTTAAACTACTTTGTCTTAGTATATATCAATAAGCCTCAAGGGTTTAGAGTCTCATCTGTAATATACATAAACAAAATTGGCCAGATTTATATAGCTGTGTTTTAAAATCTGATATCTTGCCTAATGTTCTTCATAACTATACATAAAACATTGGAAGTCATTTTGATTCTGTAAATTTAGATGCTGATTTGGCCAAAGGATTAAGGAAAACAGAAAAGTCAATTTCTACTTGCTGGATTTGAGTTTCTACTACTACAGACACAGGTGAAAGATAGTTAGGAAAGGTTAAAATACAACACACAAAAAGATTACTAAACTATGGAAAATGTAATCCAAAATTTGTATGGAGAGATTTAATTCTCCATATTATCAATCTTATATATAATGTTTATCTAACTACTATTATTCACATGAAGTATAATCACCATAAATATGGTGATTATAGAGATAGGAAGAACAGGAGTGAAGAGGGGGAGGAAAGTTATGTTAGAGGCCACTTTCTCAAATGTAATTTTAAAGGTATATAAATGTATGATACAATGATTTACTTGCATTAGAAAGTTTAGAATGAAATGTTTTATATGCTAAATAGAACTCAAGTAATCAGACTTAGCCAAACCCAAATCTAATTCTGTAATTCTGAATGTAACTGACTTATAGAGACCTAGATGAGAATTCGGATTTTCTTTATCTATTTCATCTTTTTATATCATTATAAGAAGTTTATTTTAAATTATATAAATTTTAAAAGCCAAAAAGTATATTATACATTTTTTAAAAATCAATAAGTTAATATTATCAATATCATTTAGGCACTAGACTCCTTATCTAAGAATGTGCAAATTATAACCCATTTTGTCATCATTTAAGCTTTGGAATTGGTGCCTTACTCTTTCTTTTACTGAATGAATTTCTTTGAATGTAATGTTTTACTTGCTGAGGTTTCTTCTTCCTACTTTGAATCATGAATTCTCTCAACACTCATCCTCACAAAACCAACAAATGCTCTTCCTTTAATCAACAGGATGGCATACAGCACCTGGCAGGCCCTAAATTAATGCCTTCCGGAAGCATGTGATGAATACAGTTGTTCAAGACAATTGTGATAAAATAGTAATATAAGGAAAAATGAAAACAGTTGTTAATAATTATTGATAATGTAATCTTCCTCTTTACCTACTAAATCCACTTATGCTAATAAATATGTTTTCTATATAACTCTTGACAATATAGAAATATATAAAGTGTGTTTCAGGCTGGCGCCGTGGATCACTAGGCTAATCCTCTGCCTTGCAACGCCAGCACACCGGGTTCTAGTCCCGGTCAGGGCTCCTCTTCCAGGCCAGCTCTCTGCTGTGGCCAGGGAGTGCAGTGGAGGATGGCCCAAGTGCTTGGGCCCTGCACCCCATGGGAGACCAGGATAAGCACCTGGCTCCTGCCATCGGATCAGCACGGCACACCGGCCGCGGTGGCCATTGGAGGGTGAACCAACGGCAAAGGAAGACCTTTCTCTCTGTCTCTCTCTCTCACTGTCCACTCTGCCTGTCAAAAATAAATAAATAAATAAATAAATAAAGTGTGTTTCAGTTATTACTTTGGAAATATGTTGGTCCCGAAATTCTAATGTAAAATGTAATTATTTCCCAATAGTGTAATGTTAATGCGTCATATTTGATCCTTAAAAGTCTACAGTTCGTTGCCTTTCTAGTAGAAATGTTTGACAGGTGTATGAGTTGGACCACTATAGAAAATGGAATGATGGTCTTAGGGCATCCTGCACCTCACCTACTTCTAGGAGTAAGAGTGAGAAAGAACACCACAGAAGGAGGCCCAGATTAACTAAGGAGTTAATGAAAATGTAGGATTCTTGCTAAATGCTTGTACTCATAATTTTGGCTATGGTATAGTCCTGTTTTGATACGTTTGTTTTTAAAACATCTTGCTTGTTTTTCAAATTAATTGTGTGTGTCTGTTGCAGGGGCGTGCAATTTTTGCCAGTGGCAGTCCTTTTGATCCAGTCACTCTTCCAAATGGACAGACCCTGTATCCTGGCCAAGGCAACAATTCCTATGTTTTCCCTGGTGTTGCTCTTGGTGTAGTGGCCTGTGGATTGAGGCACATCACAGACAAAATCTTTCTCACTACTGCTGAGGTACTGTAATCTGCTTAAGTTGGCCATGGATATAAAATATGCTCTGTATAGTATTTTATTTCTCTAGCATCTCAGCTCACTCTTGAGAAGGAGATTGAAAAAGAGAAATTCATTCCCAGTGGAGAGTGAGAGGTGGGTAGCAGGTTCCTACTGACTCACTAGTGAAAGAATCTTTCTCAATAGTCTTTTAAGATTGTTTTGATTTCTTAAAATGAGCCCTTATTCATCTTTATATTTCCAATCAGATTCTGTGACAGTTATGAGACCATTAAGGTATTGTTTCCAAACGATGATAGATAAATATTTCTCCGTGGAGAACCTTCCTAAATAACATTATTTTGAAGTTTTAAAATGAAAGTCGTGTGTAGTGGAAGTATTATGTCATTGAGGTTTCAATGTAGAAAATGGAAACCATACTAGCATTTAAGCAGAAATGAAAATAAAATAAGGAAGTAGATGTTTAAAAAATTATTAAAAGGACAGAAGTGAGCTCTAGTCTGGGCCTTTAGGAAAGATTCTCAGAATTTCACAGAGCAGGCCCACTAGGTAATGTCATACTGTCGACAACTACGAAAGATCTGAGAGTTTACCCTACTTATAAGCTAGCAGGTCAATCACAGTTTCCTAGATAATGGCCCAGGTTCTGGTACCCATCAGTTTTCCTTGCCCTCTCTGCCAAGCTTCAGTAGAATGATGCAGTACTGGGCATATATTTGTAAAAAAATTTTCACCTGGTTAATACATATTTTCAAATTTGAACAGGATGCAATTCACCAATGAGAAACTTGAGTGAATTTAATTTATTAATACTAAATTACTAAAACATTAAGATTGAGATCTGACACTGTGGTGTAGTAGGCTAAGCCTCTGTCTGTGGCACCAGCATCCCATATAGGTGCCTGTTCTTGTCCCAGCTGCTCCTCTTCTGATCCAGCTCTCTGCTATGACCTGGGAAAATAGTAGAGGATGGCCCAAATGCTTGGGCCCCTGCACTCATGTGGGAGACCTGGAAGAAGCTCCTGCCTCCTGGCTTCGGATTGACCCAGCTCTGGCCTTTGTGGCTATCTGGGGAGTGAACTAGCAGATGGAAGACCTTTCTTTCTGTCTCTCCCTCTCTCTGTAACTCTACCTCTCAAATAAATAAGTAGAATCTTTCAAGACAACAGCAACATTATGGTTGAATTGAGCCACATTAAACTAAATTGATATTCAGTTATTCGTACCCTGCAAACACAGTTTTTTCCATTGTGAAGATGAAACTCCAAGAGCACAGACCTAGATTCCTATGTCACTGATGTGACTGAAGAAGCCTAGGCTCAGGGATTAGCACCTGGCACGACTCTGAAAACTAAGCTGTCATGTCCTACTCTTGTCTTTTTCTTTGCTGGATTAAAATCATGACAGCTGGTGTCTCCTGTTTTCTTTAATAGAACAAAGCTTGCTAAGCACAGGTAGATGTCTGCTTACTAACAGAGCATTTTAGAGTTGTTTTTACATGAAGCAAAGTATAATCATTGTCTTTTAGAATAGGCACATCAGGAGAGAAGTGATCTTTTATTCTCAGGAGCCAGTTATTTACTTTCCTAAATAACTCTAGCACCCTCTGGTGACAAATTTCATGAAAAGCAGTGTCCGTTTACTATCTATCCATGAAAATAAACACTACCAAAACATTGGGGAAAATGTGGTAATATCAGCAGTATTATTCATGTCATTGCTAGTGATCCCTCTGGATACATCTTTTGGTTTTTCAACTGGTTTTCTCTTAGGCTTCAACATATTTCTGTTTTTCATATCACCTCAATTTTGTCACATGCATTGTTTTCTTTGTCTCCTTTCTTTTCCCTTTTAAGTAAGATCTTTTTTTGGTAGTATTCACTTTTTTTGTCTCCACTTTCTTATCTTATACTTTCAAATGCCTCATCCATGTATTCATTTTTATCTTCATTCTAATAATGGTCAAATCTATGTATCTCTATTCTCATCTTTTACGTATTTCCAGTTACCTGCTGGATAATTCCCCAGAAATGCCCTGCCATGTTCAAACCCACACTTACCTTCCCTTGTGCTCAACAGGCATGTTTCTATTCATTACACCCCTTTTCAACTAGGCACCAACATTTAGCAATCTGGCATTCTCTCCATTCCCCCTCCTCTGATTGCATTCAGACACCCTGTACATACATATGCCTGGGTGCCTGCTTTATCTGCTGTCCTGCCTGGAAAGCCCTGAGAATTACCCCCACATAACAGCCTGTCCTTCAGTATACTACTTAGGGCTCTTCTCACCTTGAATTTTCTGTAACAAGGATGGCTCATCCTGATCCTTCTCCTTAATCACACCTCTCTGTGTTAAACATTACAACACACACTTTTATTCCTGGTTGTATTATGCTTTTTTTTTTTTTTTTTGACAGGCAGAGTGGACAGTGAGAGAGAGAGACAGAGAGAAAGGTCTTCCTTTGCCGTTGGTTCACCCTCCGATGGCCGCCGCAGCCGGTGCGCTGTGGCTGGCGCACCGCGCTGATCCGATGGCAGGAGCCAGGAGCCAGGTGCTTTTCCTGGTCTCCCATGGGGTGCAGGGCCCAAGCACCTGGGCCATCCTCCACTGCACTCCCTGGCTACAGCAGAGAGCTGGCCTGGAAGAGGGGCAACCGGGACAGAATCCAGCGCCCCAACCGGGACTAGAACCCGGTGTGCCGGCGCCGCTAGGCGGAGGATTAGCCTAGTGAGCCGCGGCGCCGGCGTATTATGCTCTTGAGTGCTTCATACTTTAAAAGATGGTGTGTTTGTCTCTATGATTAAATTTTCGATTTTCTTCTTTAAAGACAGGGAATTTTCCATATATATCTTAAAAAAAAAAAAAAAAAAACTCCAGTAGTAGCACCTAGTCAGGCACAAAGCAGAAGCTTAGTGAATATTTGTTGAGTCGAATTAAATAGAACTAGACAATACCACAGACACTCACTCTTGGAGGGCCCCAAAAAAGGAGAAAGTTCTTCTTACTTTGATTGTATTTTACAGTTTAAAAAGATACCATGTAGGAGATCTAGGTGAGATTTTTGTTTGGCAACTCAAAATTTAATAGTAGTTAGGTTTGTATTTTTTAAAAAATAGTGCTTGGCTTTCTTATGGAAGTAAAATACTTATGGGTTGGTACCAATCCCAAAGACTACTTTTGGACATTTTTACAGGACAGAGGGTTTTGGCCTTTGGCACTATGGATAGTCTTCATGACCTATAATGTGAGTACAAAGTGCTCCCCTAGGTCATCTTTATGTATGTTCTATACTAGAGCCTGTATGTTCTATACCAGAGCCTGGGAACAGAGTCTTTGCATTCTGTTCATACCTGGAAGACATACTTTTGCCCAGAGGACATCAAAGGTCCTCACCATGGACAGCAGAATCTGGAAGAAGCTTTGATTCACTTAAGTCATTGGATAACTCAAAGTCTAGTTGCCATAACATTGTCAGAATGAAATGGGGTCGGCGCTGCGGCTCACTAGGCTAATCCTCCGCCTTGCGGCGCCGGCACACTGGGTTCTAGTCCCAGTCGGGGCGCCAGATTCTGTCCCGGTTGCCCCTCTTCCAGGCCAGCTCTCTGCTGTGGCCAGGGAGTGCAGTGGAGGATGGCCCAAGTGCTTGGGCCCTGCACCCCATGGGAGACCAGGATAAGCACCTGGCTCCTGCCATCGGATCAGCGTGGTGTGCCGGCCGCAGCGGCCATTGGAGGGTGAACCAACAGCAAAGGAAGACCTTTCTCTCTGTCCCTCTCTCTCACTGTCCACTCTGCCTGTCAGGAAAAAAAAAAAAAAAAAGAATGAAATGGGGAGAGATTATTTGAAATCAGTGGAATGTAATTAGAGATATCCATACTACATCAAAGGTAGCCAATAGTTTTTAATGAATGAGTCTATAGGTGAGAGTGAGACTAGGATTCATATGTTCTCTCTCCTTTTCCTCCCAGAATCACCCCTTAAATTTTAACGAGGCTCCTGTTGGTTGCCTGTTTGCTACTTGACTCTTACACAATTTGTTGACTTTCTCTCTGTATGAAAGACACAAATGAAGAGCAAAAACTCAAACTATACTTTATAATTCAGACATCTTCTGATTGTGACAGTCTCTTTAAAATGACATTTTTGTAGCATTCTAGGGAAAGCACAATGATGCTAAAACCATCAAGGAACTAGTGGTAGCAGATGCAATACACATGGGTGATTGGTTATGAAACTTGCTTCCTAATCCAGTATCTAATAAGCTAATGCACTGTCAAGTTAGATTTGATCCAGAAAGCTATTTTGCTTCTATTTTGCCATGCTGCCTATTTGTTTGTTTTAAATGCAATGGCTAAGGTTCATGGAACACTCAACTTTGACAGACACTGTGGTAAATTCTTTGCTGGAACTTATTTTTTTTAGTTCTGTGAGCTAGGAACTGTTATTAGTCTTACCTTTCTGATGAGAAAAGTGAGACTTAGGAAGGTTACTTATAATTTGTGCAAATTCAGGTAATAATTAGTGAAGTCAACATTCAAACACAGGTCTACCTCACACCAGTGTTTGAGCTTTCAACCACCATACTATATTTTTTACCCAGTTTTCTTTTCTATTCAATTAAATAACAGTGCTGGATACCATAAATATTTTTGCCTGAACATCTGAGAAATTCCAATGGGTTTAAATCTGCCATAAATCTTTTGCAGGACAGGAAATAACTGGGTTTTTTAAAGCAATCTCAATTCAATATCAAATTAACATAAAATAGTTTTATTTTGCTTCAATTGTTGTTTTATAAAATTTCCCTTCAGATTTCCCTTTTATTTTTCTTGATGGCATCTTAGTAAAATCCCATACTTTTCAATTCACTTTTTCTTTTAACAGTTGTTAATTAAGTACCTACTATATGTTATGTAGTATTCCAGGTGCTAGGATTATGTCAGTGAACAAGGAACCAGTTGCTCTGGTCAAGATTTTATACCCAACTCAAATATCATCTCCTCTCTGTAGTGCAAGAGACCTTGGCAAGTGGGGAAGACCCATATCCTTTACTTTTTCTTCCACACTAGCACCATGAGAAGTTTGGGGAATTGTGTGTGGTTAGATTCTGAAAAATGCTGTTCCTCTTCTCATCAAGGCTTATTTCTTCAAATGTGTTGCAGATGAGAAGGAAGGATATGGAAAATGGAAAACTTCAAACTGCTGCAAATGAGGAAGGCTTCTTTCTTCCTCTCCACATCCAATTTATTTCTATTAAACAAAGCCCCAGCTTTGAGCTAATTTAGATCCAGCCCCCTAGAGACTTAATCAGAGTCTTGGAGCCAGGGGGAGGGGCAGGGGGGACTTCAAGTTGCTGCCACATCTGTGTCTTTGCTTAGGAGAGTTCAATAAATAACTCTGATTCAGAACGGGGTAATGGGTTGGGGACAACAAAACTGAGGCCAGTCTCTGTAAGATTGATATCCTACTTGTGATATGGCTCTGAGATAGCTCTCTCAGCCTCCTGCTCTACCTCCTATAACTGCCCTCCTGTGCTTTCCCCATTACTTCTATCATCTATCTTCCTTCCTTCCTTCTTCCCTTCCTCCCCACCTCTTCCCTCCCTTCTTCCCTCCCTCCCTCCCTCCCTCGCTTCCTTCCTTCCTTCCTCTTCTCCCTGCTCGCCTAGTGCATCAGTTGGAAAGTTTGCAGTATCTCGTGATACAGTAGAAAAGTGACTTGACTGAGAGGAAACCTGGATTCTGTTCCCATCTTTTTCACTAACTGTGTGATCCCAACAATCACCGGCCTCTCTCAGTTTTTCCATTGATAGAGGGGAGGTCAAGTTATGGGATCATACTAATGTGATTGGTTTCCGTGCATGGCCTTTATATGAGACCATTCATTTAATATCCACATAACTACTACATGGTGTACAGTGAAGTGTAAACTTCTTTTTTCTTCTCTGTTATTTTTAAGGTAATATCTCAGCAAGTATCAGATAAACACTTGGAAGAGGGCCGACTTTATCCTCCCCTGAATACCATTAGAGATGTTTCTCTGAAAATTGCAGAAAAGGTAAAACCACTCTTGATTACTTTTCCTTCCATCTGTTGGTAAATATGCATGTTTAAATATTAAAAATCTGTTTCTTTGAAATGTGTCTCTGTATCAGGTGATTATGTCAGAAGTCAGGGAAAGGAGGTCCATTGGCTCAGTAGAGCTTATAAACTATGTTTGATCCTTACAAAAGAGTTGAAGAATTGGCGTTTATATCCCCATTGTTCTTTTTCTTCTATACTTTAAATAATTCAATAGGGTTTCTTTTCAGCCAGGCTCCTCTCACTGCACCTCTTTTTTGTTTTTTTCTTTTCCCTATCACCCTTGTGATAATTGCCAAAATATTTCAGAAATGGTAGGGCGACGTTCAGGATCACGTCATGTGCCATCTCCATGTTTCTATGATGTGGCATAGTAAAAGACTAAGATCAGAACAGGTAATACTGGGCAGAGGGCAAAACAATGAGGGCAGAGAGCTTGAAAGCTGTTGAGGTGGCCAGTGAGCTGTTGCAGGAGTTAGCCAAGAAGAACCTAAAGGCAGGGACATTTTCTATAACTAAACTGAGAGAGAAATGGATATTTTTTTTTGTAATTCAGTTGTATTTTCTAAGAATTTCAAAACCAAATACCACTGCTTAAACAATAGAAATTTATTTTCTCAGAGCTGGGCACTAGAAGTGCAAGATCAAGATTTCAGCAGTTCTGGTTTCTTCGGAGCCTTCTTTCTGGCAGGCGGATGGCCATCGCTGTGCTTTGTCCTCTCGTGGTCTTCTCTGTGTCCATTTTCCCCTTCTTATAAGGATAAAGTCAAATTGGATTAGGGCCTACCCCAGTAGCCCAGTTTTAACTTGGTTACCTCTTCAAGGGCCCTAGCTCTAATCACAGTCATCTTCTTAGCACTAGTGGTTGGGGCTTCAACACATGAGTTGGAGAAGGGGCACATTCAGTCTATAACAGAAGTTGTATGTTTTAAGCTGGGGATTTCCAACCTCATTACTCTGGGTATTTGGGCTTGATGACTCTTTTTTTTATTTATTTATTTATTTATTTATTTATTTTATTTTTTGACAGGCAGAGTGGGCAGTGAGAGAGACAGAGAGAAAGGTCTTCCTTTGCCGTTGGTTCACCCTTCAATGGCCGCCGCGGCTAGCATACTGCAGACTGCGGCCGGTGCACCGCGCTGATCCGATAGCAGGAGCCAGGTACTTATCCTGGTCTCCCATGGGGTGCAGGGCCCAAGCACTTGGGCCATCCTCCACTGCACTCCCTGGACACAGCAGGGAGCTGGCCTGGAAGGGGGGCAACCGGGACAGAATCCAGTGCCCCCTTGATGACTCTTATGAATGCTGTGCTGAGTATTTCAGAATGTCTAACAGCATTGCTGGCCTCTGTCCACTAGATGTCAGTAGAATCTGCACATTTTTAGCAAGAGGAAATGTTTCCAGATAATTGTCAAGTGTTCCATTGTAGGCCAGATTGCTCATGGTTGAAAATCACTAGTTTAAGCTATTACAAACTTAACAACACCATTTAAGATTCACATATAATTATCTTGTTGGCTGAAGGCATTTTAGGCATTTAGGTAATAACCTGCTTAGTTATTTATGAGAGAGTATGCTCACATTTTCTACTAATACATATCTACTAGTTTTTAACTAGTTCTAACTATTAATATATGGAATCCACATTATAATTTTAAGCTCATTTTGATGACTTGAATGAAGAGGAGTTAGTATATGAATAGAGGAGAAACTAAGAAAATAGGGGACAGCAGTGAAATACAAAGATTCATATAATACACCTAGAGTAATAGAAGAATATTGAGTGCAAAGACAGAAATCAGGAAGTCATAACCATGAACCGACTTGAGAGAGGAAGCCGCTATGAGGGGTCTACAAATTTGAGGTATCAATGGCACATTCAGATGTACGATTCTAACAAATACTTGGAGACAGCTGAAGCTTAAAGAAAAGTTGGAGCAAAGATTTGGGAATCATCTCCATGTAGTAACAAATGAAGGTCTAGAAATGGTTGGGGTTGCCCTGAGAGCAAGTATAGGAGGGAAAGAAAACCTAGGCTAGGCTGTAGTTAATTCTATCTAGAAGCAGAGGAAAGAAACCAGACAGGAAGAGAAGTGGTCAGGATTTTAAAAGGAGACTCAACACTGAGCGTCATGTGAGAAATGACAGAAGAGATGATTTCAGGGTGGACGTAGAAACAGAACCAAATCCTGAAAAGAAAAATGGATGAAGACTTTTATTGGGTACGTGGGAAGTTATCAGAAACTTTTCTAATAGCAATTGCAGTAGTACAAGAGGTGCTCATGGTGCTTAGGAAAGCAAAACAGCAGCAGCCGCAAAACGTAAGCCGCTCTTCCAGCAAGTTTGCACTGCCGAGAAGGAGAGTGGAGGCTTCACTGGGAGAGGGGATCTCACTGCAGTGCCTGGGAGCGTACTAAATGTGGTCATGGTTACACAAATCTGCCAAGTCACAAAAATAATTTGTCCATTGAAACGCTTGAATTTTGGGGCTGGTGCTGTGAGATAGTGGGTTAAGCCTCTGCCTGCAATGCCAGCATCCCATATGGGCACTGGTTTGAGTCCCAGCTGCTCCGTTTCTGATCCAGCTTCGTACTAATATGCCTAGCAAAGCAGTGGAACATGGCCCAAGTACTCGGGCCTCTGCACCCCAGGTGGGAGACGCAGAAAAAACTCTTGGATCCTGGCTTCAGCCTGGCCCAGCCCCAGCCATGAGGCCATATGGGGAGTGAACCAGCAGATGGAAGATCTCTCTGTCTGCCTGTCTGTCTCTCTCTCACCTTTCAAATAAATAAATTGTTTAAAAATGCTTGAATTTTCTGACAAATTATACCTCAGAAAAGCTGTTTTAAAAGTAATAATACCAAAGTATTGGCACTTTGAAAAGTAGAGAAAAGAAAAATAACCACTATTCTGCAATAAGTATTGCTATTATTTTTGTGTGTTTGTTTCTTGTATTTTAAAAAATGATTGCTTTCTTTTCTAACATCGTTATAATAATGGTGTATATACATTCTGTCTCCTGCTCTTCACTGCAAAGTACAGTCTTTAATTTTCCATAAGTGTATAATTTCACAATGAGAAGAAACACTCAATAATTCTAATACTCTTCAAATGAGACTTATCCAAACAAGTTTTCATACAATTAGCTCCTCAGTGATAATTTTTTAGAATGACATATGTGAATTAAACAACACATATGAAGTGATTAATTTTGAAGAAAAGGGAAATCCACTTTTCTCTAAAACAGAAAAGTAGAGAAAGGGAGCATGTATGAAGATAGAGAAGAGATAGCAATTGAGATCATTTTCTCTGAGAAGTTGGAAATCTCTCAATAGAATAAGGAGAGTGAAATGGAAATTTGAAGATGGGGAAAAGTTTGGAATTATCTTTGGGGAACTACAGGAGGAAGATTTTAAGACAAGTATATGCATGCTATGTGTAGTCACGTGGACCTAAGTATGGGAAAGTATGTCATGACAGAAAACTCATGCACGGGTCTATGAAAGACAGCCATGCAAGGAGAAAGCCAGCATCGAGGAGTCAGAGTGGAACAGAATGGTGTGAGTAACACGATTCTGTGACTCTAGCAAGGAGCACTGACCATGACTGTGATTAGGTGAGTAGGACCAGAGGACCGTGCAGAAACCAAGAGATTTTTATCTACCGTCAGAACAGAAATTCTTGAAAATTCAAGGTATCAGAGTTCAAGCTTAACAGGACTATTCAAGTATGTAGTTCAAGTTAATTACCAGTCATGCCACGTCAAGACTTCTACCAGCTTCTCTGAGAAATCTCCACTAGTCAGACTTTCCTTAGTTACTAGCAGTCCCTCCCCCCACATTGGGAGATTGGTAATAGATTTTTCATTTTATATATTCTTTAAGTGTGTTTTCATGATAATATACTGTATGTTGGTAGAAATATATGATATAAATTAATTTTTTGAAACAGAAGAAAGCTTCAGATATGTGCTCACCATCACCTCTATTCATTAAAGTAATTAATATTCTTTTCTCATTGCTAGATTGTGAAAGATGCATACCAGGAAAAGACAGCCACAGTTTATCCTGAACCACAAAACAAAGAAGCGTTTGTCCGCTCCCAGATGTATAGCACGGATTATGACCAGATTCTACCTGATTGTTATTCTTGGCCTGAACAGGCCCAGAAAATACAGACCAAAGTTGAACAGTAGCATAATAGCCGGCGTTTCTAACTCCATTAATGAGATCTTGAAGTCTTTCATAGTTTTTAAAGGTTTGAATCTTTTCTGATGATTCATAATATGTTTAGAGCAAAATAATTTTACTTTAACAGTCTCAAAACTTATGGAGGGATATTAACATAAATTAGAATAAATGTTACAGTAGGTAATTTTGCTTCATTTACCTTCCAGTTACTTATGGTTTCTATTTTAATTATTCTGGCCAAATTCTGTTTAATAGTTATTGTACCTACTACTGAGAAACTCATCATTTTTATATAGGGAATTAATGGGAAGACCAAAATTAGTAATACACTGATATGATCAACATTAAAACTCATAATACTTTTGTTGAGCATTTTGTTAAATTTTGTTTTTTAACGAAGACAGACATGAACTTAGACATAGATGAACTTTTGCTAAACAGAAACAACACTACTTTGCTACCTGGAGAAAGATAACTTCTCAGGTATTTTTATTTCAATCCCAGATTATATTTGTTCTTTTTGTGCAACTGAATTCTAATATTTCTAAGAGAGATCACTGCTGTTTACAATGCCCTGTGCAGTCTTAGTTTTGATTTTTCTTTTGTCATTGAACATCTCTCAGAGTAAAGCTCTGATCACCTTCACCGTGGGCCAGAAATCGCTCTAACAGCACCTTTGCTTCCTGCTGACCAAATGCTGTATCCTGCAGCTACCGCACTGCTGCTGTAGGGCCTTTGTGAGCTGTGGGCCTCGTCTAGAAGTCAGCACCTTCAGTTCAGCACAGTCTGAGCCATGAGGACTGAAAGGAGGCTAGTTAAGAAGATCCTTGAGGAAGGGCTGCCTGCGGAGCTGACCTGCAAAGGCAAGGATCTCAGGAGTCAGGAGCAAGACCATGACTCCCAGACAAACTGGATCCCTCGTGTCTCCTGGATTAGCTCAGTTAGCAGAGCTTGCTATGTTATAGTAACCTCCCTGTCCTGTAAGTTTGGAGAAAGTTTTGTAACTACATCCCTGGTATCAGAAATTATCATTATATCAGATAGTATAATATTTTAGTTACTGAGACTATTTACTTAGAACATGATTGATAAAATGGAAAGAATTTTAAAGCTGAAGCTCAGGTGCAATAACATTGGCTATTTATTTATAGAATTTTCTGTTTTTGAAGTAATGCTGTAGAAAATGTAAGAAGAAGTTCAATATAAACTGAACTATAATTTTACCGAGAGTTGAATGTCACACAAACTGTTTTAGGTGTGGTTTGGGTATTTCTAAAAGTAACATTTAGCTAAGGGTTTCCTCAAGATAGTTATTTGGAAAAGACTCTGAATGCTTACCTGTTTCTTTTGTTTCCATGTTGTCTTAAAGCTCTAACTACGTGTATTCTCCTATGCAAAAGATTTATTAAAGCATAGAAACATTGAATAAGTAAAATTATAAAATAATTGTCATTTTTTCTTAAAACCTTGTTACATTTTTTAAATAAAAATTTTGCTTGGTATTGGGGGTCATATGACAAGGTATTACGAATTCTTAAAATATTCTGATAGCTGCTAATTTCAGTATGAACTCCATTTAATATATATGTAATCATAAAAACTAGGTCCTATTAGGAGTGAGCTACTTCATTGTCCTCAGGGAAAGACAATGGAACAAACACAAGATAGTTATTAGATGTTAAGCATTCTACACACATTGCCTTATTTAATGTAATCTCAATTTTTAAAAATTTTCTTTTAGCATCATAAAATAAACAGGTGGTACTGATGTTAATAATATATTTTTTTAAATAGTATATCCAAATGTTATCATTTCAGTATATAATCAATATAAACATTATTGAGCTATTTTACAGTATGGGTTCATTCTGAGACTTCAAAAATCTAGTAAATATTTTATTCTGAAATTTTAATTCAGGGGCTGTCATGGCATAGTGGGTAAAGCCACAGCCTGCAGTGGCAGCATCCCATATAGGTGTTGTTCAAGACCTAGCTGCTTTACTTCTAATCCAGGTCCCTGATAATGTGCCTGGGGAAAGCAGCGAAAGGTGGCCCAAGTGCTTGGGCCCCTGCACCCGTGCAAGAGACCTGGAAGAAGCTCCTGGTTCTTGGCTTTGGCTTTGTCTGAGCCCTAGCTGTGGAAGCCATTTGGGAAGGGAACATCAGATAAAGGATCAATTTCTCTCTCTCTCTCTCTCTCTCTCTCTCTCTCTCTCTCTCTCTCTCTCTGCCTCTGTATGACTCTGCCTTTCAAATAAATAAATAAATCTTTAAGAATGTTAATTCTGTTCAGACTAGCCATGAGGGCTCACTAGCTGGCTAATGACTGCCATACTGTGCTGATCTAGAAGAGACAGTTATATACAACAGCCGAATATAGCATTTCCATACGAGAAGTGAAACTTACTTAAGTCTATGGGAAATGTTTTCTCAAAATTATTTTGGTAAACAATGCCTCAACAAAGCAGATAAAAACGGATTTGTCCCAGGCTTGTGCGCTTGCTCTCTCACTCTCTGTTTCATTAAGATGTATTTACTTATTTGAAAGGCAGAGCAACAGAGAAAGGAGAGACAAAGAGATCTTTTATTTTCTGGTTTACTCTCCAAATTGCTGCAACAGCCAGATCTGGGCCAGGCAGAAGCTGGGAGCCTAGAACTCCATTGTGGTCTCCCACATGGGTGGCAGAGACTCAAGTACTTAAGCCATCTTCCCCCACCTCTCAGGTGCATAACGGAGTGACCAGGACTCAGGCTGGCACTCAGATATGGAATTCTAGTGTTTCAAGCAGCCACTTAACCCACTATGCCACAATGCTGCCCTCCCCGCCCCACCGGCTCTCTTCAGTCAGCTATGCAAATTAGGAAGGGGAACACTGACTAAGAAAATCAATGCATTTAACAATTTTTTATATGTTGCTATTAGCAGAGGAAATGTAAAAATCTGTTGGAGCACAGGAATACATGATTTAGACAGAAGGGGAGGGGTCAGGAAAAGGAAGCAGTAACCAGAAGGATAAAGAATAAGCAGGAGCTAGCCAAATGGTGCCTGAGTGCTTACGTGTGTGTGTGTGTGTGTGTGTGTGTGTGTGTGTTGGGAGAGTCAAGTGTTACCACTTCTCGGCCTTTTGGCTAAGATCAAGTGTAGAGTCAAGTGTTTTAGGTAGGGAATAAGAATGTATTCAGGTATCCCAGGCAGGAAAGGACATTACATATGGAGAACTGAAAGCAAGAAAATGTTAAACCTGTTTCATTTAATAAGCATACATGCAAAAATATTAAACAAATCCAATGATGTATTAAAAACACAATGTTGATTACTGTCTACAATAACAGGAAATCAGATAAAGCTATGATAAAGAAAATAGTGTGTTAGTAAGGAAGAGATAATAATATAATTTTTTCAGATAATATCTGCATACACATCCAGCAATAGTAAAAACTATTAAAGAGAGTCCAGGTGTTCCATATGCAAAATCATCTTTAAAAAGCCGTAGAATTTTGGGGCCGGCACCATGGCTTACTTGGTTAATCCTCTGCCTGCGGCGCCGGCATCCTATATGGGCACCGGGTTCTGGTCCCGGTTGCTCCTCTTCCAGTCCAGCTCTCTGCTGTGGCCCGGGAGTGCAGTGGAGGATGGCCCAGGTGCTTGGGCCCTGTACCCCATGGGAGACCAGGAGAAGCACCTGGCTCCTGGCTTCGGATCCGCACAGTGCGCCAGCCGTAGCAGCCATTTGGGGGTTGAACCAATGGAAGGAAGACCTTTCTCTCTGTCTCTCTCTCACTGTCTAACTCTGCCTGTCAAAAAATAAAAAAATAAAAAAATAAAAAAGCAGTAGAATTTTTCTATCTGCAATGATCAACTAGATGTTAAAGGCAAAAAGGAGTTATAATTTACAACAAGAATAAATGATATGATCTTCTGTTAGGAAAAAATTTGAATTCCACTAAAAAAATATAAAAGATGTGAAAAGGAGTTGGCATCGTGGAGCAGTGAATTAAGCCACCACTTGCAATGTGGGTTATCCTATATTGAAATGCTGGTTCAAATTCTGGCTGCTCCACTTCTGTTGCAGCTCCTTGCTAATGCACTTGGGAAAGCAGAGGAAAATGGTCCCTACCACCCACATGGGAGACCCGGATGGAGTTGCAGACTCCTGACTTCAGCCCAGCTCCTCTCTCTGTGTCACTCTGCCTTTCAAATAAATCTTTAAGAAAGGTATGGATACATGGAGAGCGTATGCTCTTGATTGGAATGTGTTAATATAAAGTTGTATTTCTCTCTCCAAATAATCTATAAACTCAATGCAGTTCTGTCCAGGTCAGGCTAGGCTAACTGCTGCTAAACCCCACAATGTCAGACTCCCCCCATAAAAGCACAGTGTTTGCTTACATTGTTGCCTACTGCAGTCACCTGGGAGAGAAGGCCCTTCCATTTTATAATACGTCCCTCTGTATCGTGTGGCCTCCAGAGTCACCAAAAGGACAAGCAAGCGTGGGAGATTATTCAGAAGGTTTTTTGGGTCAGCCATTTTTACCCACTATCTCCTGCCTAAGATCATCACATAGCCCCAGTGGTATAACAAGAGAAACAGAGATATTGTCTTTCTCTGGCCTCAGGACTACAACATGAAACACACTTGATGAGCACAGCATTTTCTCTACCACAAGTCCAAGTTTTGGTTGAAATTTACAAGGAAATGAGTAAACTTACTCTAAAATATATGTGGAAAAATCGAGATCTATTCCTGTAATACATACCAGATAGGACTTGCTCTTATAACTAAACGGACTAACTAAAGTGCAGTCTGGCCCAGATCCAGCTTAACTCATGATTCAAGTTCTCAGCCTCTCACCCTAGTGCACTCTCAGAAAAAATATATCTACTCAGTCACTAGAGGTCTTTTAAATACAATATTCAGTCTACATTCAAAACAGAAAAAAATTAGAAGCAGAAAGCTGTCACCCTAATCAGGAGGAAAAAATAATTGATAGAAGCAAATTGACAAATCATCCAGATGCATTATCACACAAGGATTTAAAACTGTTACAGTAATGCTTATGGGATTAGAGGAGAAAAAATAAAATGGAAGGAAAGATAGGTTTTAATAGAAAATGAAATACCTAAAGAATTAAATGTATATTTTTAGATCTGAATAACAAAATATGTGAAATTAAGAATCAGTGGATAGGCTTAGCAGCAGCCAGAAAAAAAAATTGATGCCCTTAAGGGTAGCTCATTAAAAATTACTCAGATTTTGAAGCACGCAGGAAAAAATGAGCAAGAAATAAAAGCTGCCTGCTATGACATGGTCTAACATTTGTGCCAGTGGAGGGCTGGAAGGGGAGAAGAGAGTAGTGGAGTGCAATCACTATCTGAAGAGAAAATAACCAAGAGTTTTCTGAAATTACTAAAAAATTACCAGTTTGTAAACAGAACTGGCAATCCCCAACTGATCAATACTTGTACAAATAAAACCACATCTAAGAATATCTTAAAATTCTGAAAACCAAAAATAAGCAGAAAATCTTAAAAGCAATAAAAAAAATACCTTCCGAGGTATAACAATAAGATTGACAACAAACTTAGCAGAAAAAATAAGAGATAATGGAAAGATACTCTTAAGGTGCTGAAAGAATAAATGATAACTAAGAATTCTATGTATCAAGAAAACACCCTTTGAAAATGAAGGCAAAATAAGGTGTTTCAGACAAACCAAAATTGAGATCATTTATTGCCTCTAGACCTAACATTGCTAGAGACATAAAGGAAATTCTTCAAAATGAGGGAGCATGATCCCAGAGGGAAGTGTGGATCTGTAGGAAGAAATAAAAAGAGCTAAAAATGGTTAATGTATGGCAAATATTGAATACTATTATGCAGTATATATGTTGATATTAATGATAAGTTATAGGAGTTGTTTCATATTGACCTTTTGATGTAAATAATAATGTGGGTAATGTTTATCAAGTATGTAGAAGTAAAAGTAGGAGTCGGACAAAGAGTAAAATGAATGATTAAGTTGTGTGGCTTACCCATTATTCTTGAAGCAGTATATAATTAAGTCAGGGAATATTACAACAGGCAATGTACCACTTTCATGCACAGTCTTCATGAGCAATTACTGTAGGCCTACAGTATCCCTCAAGAAATATCCTAATAGGGGGCCAGCGCTGTGGCATAGAGGGCTAAGCCTCCGCCTCTGGCCAGCATCTGATGTGGGCGCCAGATCTAGTCCCAGCTGCTCCTCTTCTGATCTAGCTCCCTGCTTATGGCCTGGGAAAGCAGTAGAAGATGGCCCAGGTGCCTGGGCCACTGCGCCCATGTGAGGGACCTGGAAGAGGCTGGCTTTGGATTGGCCCAGTCCAGCTGTTGTAGTCTTGCAGAGTGAACTAGTGAATGGAAAAACCTTTCTCATTGTCTCTCCCTCTCACCGTCTGTAACTCTACCTCTCAAAGAGATAACATCTTTAAAAAATTTTAATAAGTTAACTAAGTGTTTTATAACCTCTAGAATAGCCACTGAGAAGAGGTTATAAAATGGAATAAAAAGCTGAAAAATGTTAAAAAGCTGAGAAAGGAAATAAAATTGAATGATTTCCACTTGATTAATGCAAAATAGCAAAATACCCATCTTTACTGGTAATTTTATATATATATATAATTTTTTAAAGCAAATAGATTGTTTAAAGCACAATGATTTTTTTTTATTTTATTTATTTGAAAGAGTTACATAGAAAGAGAAGGAGAGGCAGAGAGAGAGAGAGGTCTTCCATCCACTGGTTCACTCCCCAATTGGCCGCAACAGTTGGAGCTGCGCGATCCAAAGCCAAGAGCCGGGAGCTTCTTCCAGTTCTCCCACATGGGCGCAAGAGCCCAAGGAGTTGGGCCATATCCTACTGCTTTCCCAGGCTACAGCAAAGAGCTGGATCAGAAGTGGAGCAGTCGGGACTCGAATCAGTGCCCATATGGGATGCTGGCACTGCAGGTGGTGGCTTTACCTGGTAGGCCACAGCACTGGCCCCACTGGTAATTGTATTAAATGTGAACTAAACACTCCAATTTAAAGGCAAAGTTTATCAGATTAAATTAAAAAAAAATCAACTATATGCCATTTTAAAGAGGTAGGAACTTTAAATTGAAGGAAACAAAAAGGATAAAAGTAAAATGATAAAAAAAAAATCCCATACAAACAGCCTACAAAAGCTGGTTGTGGTTTTATTAGTAGACAAAAAGAGTTCAAAGCAAGGATCTGAACCCAGGTCACTGCAGTGTGGGACATGGGCATCTTAACGGCTAAGTGTCTGCTTCTAGAACATCCTTCTTACTACCAGCATTGGTCAGCTTACCATTGTCTAGGGCATCATGCTGGTCCAGCATATTGATGATGATACACCGAGAGGACTTGGAGCACAAGTAGATCCCCGGATGCCTGGGATGTCAGAGGTTGAAAGGGAATTCCCATGAAAGCACAAGAACTTGTCACCTCAGCCAAGTTTTGTGGAGGACCAGTGTGTGTTCCGTGTTAGGGTGCCCCTCATTGTGAAGCACAGACTTGCTACTTTGTTCCTTAAAATGACTAAGGAAGACCCCTGCTGTTTGGTGGGCTTCTTTAAATTCTGTATGTGCTGCTCAGACCCACTTAACGGGTTGATTCAAACACTTCTGCCTTTCACTGGACTGTGAAAAAGAGAGATGTCCCCCGCTGGTCCAGGCTGCAGTGAAATTAGCTCTACCCTGAAGACACTGTAGGAGACCTCTTAGGCTCAGAGTTCCTGTTGAAAATCAGGATTCTGTATAAAAGAAGAAATTTTTTAAATGTTTTACATTTTTAGCAAACCATGCCTTCTTCAGCAAAAAATCATTCTTTTGACATACTCCTGGGCCTTTGAGATAAAAGCAAATCAAAAGCTGTCCCACTTAAAAGTGTTCCACTGAGACCTCCAACAGTACCCTGAAAGCCCTCTGAAGTTCAGATCAGGGTTGGATGGTTTGTAAACAGCCACATATGAAAACCCAAGTTCATTGGCAGCATATTTTCAATTAACACACGGATGTTTTAGGGGTCCCTGTGTCGTGTGGCCCACTCCTCACTTCACTATCCATCTGCCTTCAGCTCTTAGCTGTAACATAAAAAATAAGGAGAACATTCTCAAAGAGTGCTGGTTGGAGTCCTGGCTGCTGCACTTCTGATCTAGCTCCCTGCCAGTGCACTTGGGAAAGAAGTGCTAAGATGGCCTAGTGCTTGGGCCCCTTTCACCCATGTGGGGAATGTGGAAGGGGTTCAGGGCTCCAGGCTTTTGCCCTTTTGCCTGGCCCAGCCCTGGCCATTTTGGCCAGTTTAGGAGTGAACCAGCAGATGAAAGATCCCTCTCTCTGTCTCTCCTCTCTCTAACTCTTCTTTCAAATAAAATTTAAAATGTTTTAAGTTACTGAGTCTTGATTCTTAAACAGATGCTGATTCTGACTTCCAAGAAAAAAAGGGGACAATGTTGTATAGTTCCAAGGAGGTGCTGTGCTACTGTGCATTCAGTAGGCTGGAAGTGTGGAGCCATGAGGCACGTCAACAGCAAGAGTGCACAGCCATCTCTCCAGAAGCTGCCTGAGGGCAACTTGGTTTCATTCACCTTCTCCCAAACCATAGAGGGAAGGGGCAGTTCCCCAAAGTGGGGTGTGTGTGTGTGTGTGCGTGCGTGACAGAGACACTGATATGAATGCTCCTATCAGGCTGGATAAACACAGCCAGAAGACCAGCAGTCTAGTATACATGCAAAGTTTTGAATTATTATATTTAGAGTATATTTCTTCTATAAAACTTATGCTTCTTCCATAATGTCTATTGTGAGCGCTTCTAATAGAAGTTTCCATTGAGTGCTCATATGGGGCATGTAAAAGTACATTCTGACAAATTACTATCACAAACAGTTCCAGAAACAGTAAAGAATTCAAAAGCTAGAATTTGTTTGCTTTGATTAGTGAGCTATATAAAGAATCAAATTGTTCCATATTTTAGCTCTTAAACTTGTTTATGTATCCTTCTGTAGCAACTTTTACTAGTTAATTATTAGAACTTTCTGTGAGGTAGGTACTTACTCATTTCAAAGGAAAAAAAGGTTGTATCTCTTTGAGGCCCGCACCTTGTGAATGCTAACTATCCTATTCAGAGCAGGGGGAGGCGGTGTGGAGGGATGACTCCCACACTCAGCCCTGGTAAGCACTGAGAAAGGAGTCCTTGGCAAGGTGAGTCATCCTTTCTCCCTCCATATGTAAGTGAAGTGCGACTTCGAGTCACAGCCAAGGCAGGGTTACAACACGAATGGGCAGGTGGTCTGGCAGGAAAGGCCCACACAACAAACTTGAAGGTCCAATAATGCCCTCAGAGGAAAGCCATTCTGAGCTAAGAAAGCGGGCAGAGGGGCTGGCGTTGTGTAGCAGGTAAAACTGCTGCCTGCAATGCCTGCATCCCATATGGGTGCTGGTTCGGATCCTGGTTCCTCCACTTCTGATCCAGCTCCCTGCTACTGGCCTGGGAAAAGCAGTGGAAGATGGCCCAAGTGCCTGGGCCCCTGCACCCATGTGGGAGACCCGGATGAAGGTCCTGGTTCCTGGATCCTGGCTTCTGCTTGCCTCAGCCCTGGCCATTGCAACCATCTGGGAACTAAACCAGCGGATTTGAAGATCTCTGCCTCCCTCTCTCTGCAACTGTAAAATAAATCTTAAATAAAAAAATGAACCCAGTTCCAAGGCTTTCACAGGCACAAAAGAGTCTGCTTAGTTCCAACCCCTTGCTCTGTTATATCTCCTAACAGAAGGACAACGGTCTGCATCCTAGACACACAGACAGAAAAGGGGGAGGACTGTTCTTAGAAGTTCTGCACACTCAGCACACACAACACGCCATCCAACAGAATGTGTGGAGAAATGGGGACCAAAACTCTCCCCTTCATGTTACCAAATCCTGTCATCCAGTTCCGGCATTCTGAGGGGTCCAGGACACGAGTGAGTTGCCTGGCGCCCAGCAGGAGGGTGGCATGTTCCCCAGGAGAGGCTGGCAGTTGCTGAGGAGGGACCATGGCAACAGGGAAGGCTGCGGAGGCATCTGAGACACCCGGAAATTCTTGGGGAGGGCTGGGGACCTGGCAGTGAGAAGGCGCCACAGGAGCTACTTGATGAGTTATCATTAAACTTTTGAAAACAGCTAGCAGAGTTCCGAATTTTCAGAATAGATAGCACTGACTTAACACCGAAATGTACTTTTTTGTTCCCCCACTAATAAGGTGACAGTGCAGTCATCCACACTGGTCCCCTCTCAACACTCTGTAGACAAGAAGCCATATTTATTTTGTGGATAAGAACTGGGCGAAGAATATTGCTAGTATCATTAATCAACTGATAGAAGCAGCCAGAAAAAGAACACGTAGCATTGTGCATCATCTTCATTCCTCTTGTGGCTTCATTCCTATGATTCCTCTGCCCTTGCTGTCTGGATCTAGTGTAACTCAAAGAAAACACTCAAATCAGAGGTTTAATGTCAAGAAATGTAGTAAACATGTGCTCTCCCTTTGTCTCATTTTATCCTTGATTTAGAACTCACCTAAAATAACGAAAGACAAGTTGGCATGTCACCCGTGTACTGGCATCATGAAAAGGAGGAATGTTATTAATATTTATGAATATACAACTGCAGTCTGCTGTTTGATGTTAACTGGGTTTTGGACTCGTCTTAAATCAACTCCACTGGTTAAATGTTTTATTAACTTACAATGAAATTGTTTCAAGTGACTTAATACAAGAAGATAACATCACAACTTTACAGTTATAAAGTTAAAAGGCCCTTTCATTTCATGACCAGTTGAAACTCATTACCAGGTAAAAATCCTGGAGCTAGGTCTTCCACCAAGGATGCTACACAGCCTTGGCCTTTGTACTTTGGTCTTGTTAACATCAATACTGAGTGAACTTACAAATACCGGCCTCTTAATGACTTCCTAGGACTCTGAGCTTTTGCTCTCAATGCCAAATAGTATCTGAAAAACATGCTCACTTTTGTGTTTCTTGAGAAATTCTAAGAACTGGCCCAGATTCATGTGATAGTCATTCCTTAATCCGTAGTCACCGTGGGCCTCAAGGAGTAATTCTTCAAAAGAATGGAAAAGACGCAGGTCCTCGCCATCTCCTTCGGTCTCGGTGCTTTCTGCATGCTTACAGGAAATGTGCTTCCAGTTGGGGTACCTGATTGTGTGCCAGAACTCCTCGCAGTGCTCTTTGAAACCCTCCACGCAGATTATACCGGGCTTTCCTGTCATGCAAAATCCCGTCACATCCAACCTTTTCCCCACTTCCAAAATCTTTTTCCTTAGGTCCTGCTGGTATATATGGTGGCTGTAGATCCACATGCGGATGAACGTGTTCTTGATGGGCTTTGCCTGGGTAGATGGTTCATACACGAGCTTTCTGCTCAGGAAATAGGACGCACTGTTGTCTTGTAGCCACTGGACTGCTGCGCACACACACAGCTCACCTGGGTCAAAAGTCCCGATGTAGGAAGTGAGATCTTTGTTGAGAAGCAGCTGCTGCTGTCTGTCAAGCTCAGGTGACCGTCCAAACAGCTGCAGTGCTACGTAGGGGTAGCTGTGAGGCATGGTGACTTGCAAATCAATTTTCACCTTAAAATGAAAACCAGATAAAGAGTGTAAAATCACACAAGCTAATTTATCAATGGCAGCTGCATGATTTTGATAAATGAAAGCTACTGTGATTGTTGTGCCAATCACGTACCAAGTACTGTACATACATCATTCCTTCCATTGATGCATTTTGTCAGGTATTTATTGAACAACTAACTACATGTGCTGGGTGCCCTGTACTGGGCTTAAAAAATGAAGATGCCAGACACTATTTGTGTCCTCACCAAATCCAGAGACTAGTGAAGAAGACACACATTGAACAAGTAACTACACACAGCATATTTAAGTTCAGCTGTGAGAAGCGTTACTATGGAAAGTTCAGGGTTTCCTCGCTGTGTGTAACCAGCAGGACAGAATACAGCCTGGGGAAGCAGGAATTCTCTGAGGGAAAGGCAGCTGGGGACTGAGGAGGAGAGCTAACACTGTGTTCTCAAATGCCAAAGCCACGTGTTACCTAGGCCATGCTAGTGTTGTTGCAGATAAAAAGATGAGAAGCAGGTAAATTAATTTATAACATTTAGATTCTGTATCTATATTTGTTTTCTGTGTATGGTGCCATCAAAAACAAAAACAAAACAAAAAGTTCATTCACTCCTTAAATGCCAGCTTTTCTACAGCTAGTGTTTAGATTTGTGTGATACGTGTAAAAGGTACTCCATAACGTGAGGCAGACTGGTAAGCAACTGTGAGTGAACAGAATAACTGATCGTTTAAGACTGCAAGACATGTTCTATAAAAATGCGAGGCATATTTGTGCAAAAGGTGTGTGTGTTTATATAAAACCCAGGATATCTGCAGAAGGCAGTAGATGAAGCCTTTCATATTGTATACATTCTGCTTTCAGTCAAGAAAAGGGAATAAGCATCTGGAAGGTTCCATCTTATTTGCTGGACAGGAAACTCATGTTCCAGGTGTTCTGGTTAAAAAACTGGGCACCCATGAGAGTATTTCAGGCATGGAAAGCCAAGACACTCTGTCAAAAAAAAAAAAAAAAAAAAGAAAAGAAAAAAATGACCTAAATGAAAGATCTCTGCGAGTGAGATCCCAGTGGAAAGAACAGGCCATCAAAGAAGGAGGTACCTTTCTCTGAAGGGAGGAGAGAACTTCCACTTTGACCATGGCATTGTCTAAATATGATCAGTCGGTAAACTCGGGGCTTCCATAGCCTTGGCAGCTCAAGACAAGAGCCTGGGGTGATTACTGATGCCATAAACAAGAGTGTCAATTTGTTAAGTCAACAACAGGAGTCACTGTGCACTTACTCTTCATGTAGGATCTCTGTCCTTAGTGTGCTGTACATTGTGATTTAATGCTATAACTAGTACTCAAACAGTATTTTTCACTTTGTGTTTCTACGTGGGTGCAAACTGTTGAAATCTACTTTATACTAAACTGATCTCCTGTATATAAGAGAAATGAAAATGAATCTTGATGTGAATGGAAGGGGAGGGGGAGAGGGAAAGGGGAGGGTTGCGGGTGGGAGGGAAGTTATGGGGGGGGGCATTGTAATCCATAAGCTGTACTTTGGAAATTTATATTCATTAAATAAAAGTTAAAAAAAAAAACAAAACTGGGCACCCACCTTGGGCTCCTCAATCTGGAGCGTAATCACAAATTCGATTTTTGGTGGTAGCGCTTCCCTGGTGCCTTCCAAATATCTCTTTATAGTCGTCAAGGCATTTACATCTTCAAGCTTTACTTCTCCTTGGTTAGGAAACATGGAAAGCAGCATTTCCATTTCCAGTAGCTGAAGCTGAAGGCTTTCTTTCACCGAAGCCGACATGTTGTCTCAAAATCCACCTGCCCGGAAGCCTGGAAAGGCAGAGACACTGAGTTTGCCAATGTCAGCTGCTGTCCAGCAAAATTTCCCGCAGGTCCCTTTATGGACAAGCAGTTCCGCAGGAGCGGTTCGCTCTGCCAGCTGGGGGACCCAACCAGGACATTTGCACCCCCCTGCTTTATCGCCTCTTCGCACATCTAGTATGCACAACATTCCCTAAAAGGCTCCAATACAATCCAGGTTCCCAGTCCCGTTTCCCTCCACCCACCTCCCGATCTAAAGCTGGGAATCTGAGCTTGCAACAGGTGTTCGGATAGTCGCGATGGCTGCAGGTGGTTGGAGAACCACACCTGTGGATGCCCCGCAGCCTGAATTCCGGGCAGGGCAGGGGCCCAGCTTTGGAAGCGGGTCTAAGGCTTGGGCGGAGCAGCTGGGTGCGGAGTAGGGCCTCAGCGCGCGGGGAGGGGCTCTGGGCCTCACAGAGCCAGAGTCGCGAGGGTACCGCCGCCCCCAACGCCTTTTAGGGAGGTCCTTTCTTCCTCTCCCTTGAGCCACAGTAGCCTGGGACAGCATCCTGGGAATTCCGGACGAGTGGGATTCACCCCGCCTAGGCACCCAGGGGCCCGGGCAAGGGCGGGGGGCTTAGGAGTAAATAAATGAATGACATTTAGAGCGAGCTCGCTGGAAAGGGAGCACAAGCAGAGGCAGTAATGGCCCCAGGAGGCTCCCCGAATTCAACAGTCTGGGAGATGACATCACCGATCGAGAAAGGGATGGCGCCCACTGCGGTGGAGGCCACCTTGTCAGACCTCCCAGATCTAGGCCGGGTTCCCCCGCCCCCGACCCCATCCAGGACCACCGGGTACCCCGGCTTCCTGACACCAAAGGACCTGCCTCTCCCCGCGCCCCGACTTGGAGATGGGAGGCTGCCTATCCGCGGCCGCCTGGCTCTGGACCCTCGGCCCCAACCCCCGGGCCACCGCGGGGCCTCACCCTTCCTGGTCATTCAATGGAAACAGCCCCAGAGCCCGCTCAGAACCGCAACCGCAGTTCTGCAGGCGCGAGCTGCGCGTGACCGCCGAGGAGGCCGGGGCGGGGCCAGCGAGCCCTCGCCCGCCGTGATTGGCCGGGGGGCGTGGCGACGGGCCGGAAGCCGCGCAGGGCCACGTCTGCGGACTCGGAGCCCTGGCGTGTGGCAGCGGCGGTTCCCGGGAGGGTGCCTGTGCGCCCGGTGCAGGGGAGCGGCGTGTGCTGGCGGAAGTAAGCCGGGTCCCGGGGCTGCGCGGCGAGAGGGGGCGTTGCAGGCGGCGGGGGTTCGTGCGGGCCGGCGGGCCGTGTCCTGGGCCCAGCTGCAAGCTAGCGGCAGGCAAGGGTATGGACAGCGCGGCCCCGCCGACGCGCCTGCCCGCCGCGCCGGGGAGCGGGCTGCTCAGCCGGCCCGAGGGTCTGGTGCTGGGGTTTTCGCCCACTGCCCTGCGGGGAGACCTCGCGGTTGGGAGCGGGGAGTCGAGCCGCGGTTAGGGAGGAGAGCGGAGCTGGAGCTGTTTGAAGATTGGATGGAGAAAAGAGGGATACTCAGTTTTTTGGAGTGGACGCTGTTTTGACTGGTAATGCGAGTATCCACATACTCATTGAAAGTAGTTTTAGAGCCTAAAATGCATTAAAGGATGGGAACGTGTCACCTTGGCATTTTTAAAAAGACTGAATTTAACAGGATTCGTGTACGCCCTTATGCACAATCACGACGCATTCCTGACTGGTCAGTTTTTACAAAAACGTATCCAAGCTTGCGAAAGAGATGTGAGTACTTGGGTCTACACGGAAATAGCATTGCAGAATGTCCACTTTTTCCAACAGGACAAAAGCTGAGATTTTTGACCATTTTTTGTCGCTTTTGTTCATTGAAGCAGTAAAGACCAATAAGCAGATGAGATGGCGAGGCTAGGAGCGAGCTGTGAGACGGCTCATCGCTGGGCAGTTGGGAATGATTGTGCATAGTGTTGCAGGGATATGAGGTTGGGAAGTTCCAGTTCATTGGAAGACCCCAGAGAAGGAAGTATTAAAAAACCGTGTTTGGTTTTTAAAATCAAAGGTAGAAGGTGGTTTTACTTGGAAGATGTTTCTGGTTTCCGAGCTTAATTTGCAAGAGTGTCTTGATTCTTTAAAAAAAAAAAAAAATTCCGGCATACAGATTGTGTGAGAGTAATAATTAAAAAGGTTTGTGGGAAGTAGAATTAAAGGGATACTTTATTTTGGTTTGAACATGTTTTTCAAATTCATAGATGGATTTTTCAGAATATGCATTTTCCACGAAGCTTTTGAAAGCCCTTGTATGAGATCTTGTATTAGGAGGCACCGGGAGAGGAAACCCTTGTTCCCTGCTCTTCCTTTGGAGGAGGAACAACAGAAGCTTACAGATTGCCCAGACGTGTCGGGACGTGCAGCCCCCGTCCACTTGAGTCTCTGACCTTAGGGGACAGCCCGATTCCTGCCCTAGATCTGTTCTGGAGTGGACAAGTTGGGTAGGATCTTCTAGGTAAGGCTGACTCGGGATTTAGTGCAACTTCTTTACAACACTTCTTTGGGCAGATTCAGAATGAGGCAGGCCTAGCAAGTGGTCCTTCCAAGACTGATTCTGCCTGAAAAGTTTTTCTGGATTTTGTAGACATGGATTTAGCTGCTGTCACAGAACACTCGGCGTTGCATGCCAAGCCCGCCGGACTCACTCTGCAGTATGGGACTGCTGGGTTTCGAACGAAGGCCGAACATCTCGATCACGTGATGTTTCGCATGGGATTATTGGCTGTGCTGAGGTCAAAGCAGACACAGTCCACCATTGGAGTCATGGTGACAGCATCGCACAATCCTGAGGTAATGCTTTTAAATGTTCAGATGCACTAGGCTAATCCTCTGCCTTGCGGCGCCGGCACACCGGGTTCTAGTCCCAGTTGGGGCGCCGGATTCTGTCCCGGTTGCCCCTCTTCCAGGCCAGCTCTCTGCTGTGGCCAGGGAGTGCAGTGGAGGATGGCCCAGGTGCTTGGGCCCTGCACCCCATGGGAGACCAGGATAAGTACCTGGCTCCTGCCTTCGGATCAGCGCGGTGCGCCGGCCACAGCGCGCCAGCCGCGGCGGCCATTGGAGGGTGAACCAACGGCAAAAGGAAGACCTGTCTCTCTGTCTCTCTCTCTCACTGTCCACTCTGCCTGTCAAAAAAAAAAAAAAAATGTTCAGATGAAGCAAGCTTGTTTGCAAGACTAAACCCTAGTGTCTGGGCAGTTTGTCCCAGAGGTCAAGTTCTAATTCTAGGAATGTGTCTTTGGATTTGAAACCGCCTCTACTTAAGGGAGTGGTCGTTTAGGCTATGACTCCTTAGAGGGTGTGGAGAGATTGAGAAATGAATGTCATTTTTTGGAGGATGTCCATATTGGAAACATTGGAACATGTCTTTCCTTGTTATTTGAATTGAGACAAGGTCAACAATTTAGAGATGTTGACCTCTATTAATTTGGTAGTGATTGAAGAGACTGGGAGTGGGTGGGGGAAGAGGAGACGAAGACAGATTTTTTACCTTTTTGGACAGGTTTTCTGTAGCTCAGTAATCAGTCCCTATTCTGAATGAGCAGCCAATCAAGCAGGCCCAGGAATCCAAGAGTGCGTTTTCAGCAGAATATCGATAAGGAGTGGTGGTTCTGTTCCTCTTGATAATTAAGTTTTTAATCAAAGTATTCCTTTTTATTTTTTCAGTTTTATGGGGCTTTAAGTGATAATAAAAATTGTATATATTCATGTTGTACAGCATCATGTGTTGATACATGTTACATTGTGAAATGATGACCACACACATATCATTTGTCATAAATATCCTTGTGTGTGTGTGTGTGATAATACTTTAAGATCTGCTAACAAATTTGAAGTATGCATTAGTACTAACTATAGGCAGCGGCGGGCGCCGTGGCTCACTTGGCTAATTCTCCGCCTGCGGCCCTGGCACCCTGAGTTCTAGTCCCGGTCGGGGCGCCGGATTCTGTCCCAGTTGCTCCTCTTCCAGTCCAGCTCTCTGCCGTGGCCTGGGAAGGCAGTGGAGGATGGCCCAAGTGTTTGGGCCCTGCACCCCATGGGAGACCAGGAGGAATCACCTGGCTCCTGGCTTCGGACCTGCACAGCGCGCCGGCTGTAACGGCCATTTGGGGGTTGAACCAGCGGAAGGAAGACCTTTCTCTCTGTCTCTCTCTCTCTCTGTCCACTCTGCTTGTCAAAAAAAAACAAAAAACAAAAAAACAACAACTATAGGCAGTAGGCAGCACCAGGCTGTGCATGAGGCCTGCAGAACATAAGCACTTTGCACTGTTTCCAACAGCTCCCCCCACTTCTAGGCCCTGGAAACCACTCTTCTACTTCCTGTGAGTTTCACTTTTTAGGTTCCACATAGAAATGTGATCATGCAGTATTTTCTTGTTGTGCCTGGCTTATTTCGCTTAGCTTAACACTCTTCAGGTTCATCCAGGTTTTTGTAAATGACAGAATTGCCTTCCTTTCCAAGGCTGAACAATAATTCTGTTGTATAAACATATACCACATTTTCTTTGGCCAATCATCTGTCCATGGACACCGATGAATACTCAGGTGGTTTTAGGTCTTGGCTAACCATTGATACAACTTATTTTATTCTGTAAGCCTGTAGCTCCTGAACTATATGGCTGAAATACTGTGCTTCTAATTGATTGGTAAGGTGCGACGTATTTACCTTTGTAGCTAAACCAGCAACAGGTGAAAGCCCTGTAGGTCAGTGAGGCGTTTGAACCTCCTCTCCCCAGCAGTGGAAGACATTGTTCATCCTCCAGATGCGTAGATGTCTGAAGGTGCCAGTTACTGCAGCTGACTGATGGCGTCTCTGAAGAACCTCAGTTACTGCTAGTTCAGAAGCTCTTGTCAAAACAGTGCTGCCCTGTTTCCCGCTGTTGACATTCACTCTGACCTACACTTTATTTCTTTCCAGGAACTTGAGCAGAACAGAGTTGAGGATGTTTTCAGTGTCTGGGCTGCCATCCAGTTGACATGCTGGCCAGTAGGCTCCTGGAGGCCAGAGTCGTAGAGAAGAGGGTCTCTGTGTGCCCTCCATCTATGCCAGTTAATTGCTAGTGAGTACACAGGGGCAGCCTGTTCAGCAGCTAAGGGAGCCCAGTGCTGGTTGGCCTTAGAAGTCAGGCGGACTAGATGTTGGAACAGCACCACCGACGCTTACCAGCTGTGTGATCATAAATTACCTAACCTCTCAATCACAGGCGTGATATGTGTGTCATGAGAGTTTCACAAGACAGTGTTTAAGGGGACTTCCAAAAGTTTATAGAAAAGTGGAATTAGAAGATGTTTATTTTGATGCAAAAATGTTAGAAATCCATGAGTAGATATTTTTATGATGCACATTTTCCATAGACTTCTAAAGACCCTTCACATCCACAACCCCCAGCCCTGGGCCTCGTGTTAATGCTAGCGGCAGGAGTCGGAGTGGCCCGGCTTTGGCTCTCTTTGGCTGGGGGAAAAGCCGGAATGAGTTCTGCTTCCTCCGCTCTCCGTCATGTGCGTGAGCTTGCTCATTGTTTGTTTTTCTTCTAAGGAAGACAATGGTGTCAAATTGGTTGAT